CAGCCGGCGAGAGGCATGGGGGGGGGAGAGGGGAGAGGCTGATCGGTGGGGCCTGCTGGGGGGCAGGAGGCACTGGGGGGGGGGTGGTGCTGATAGGCGGGCTGCCGGTGGATGCTCAGCACCCGCCATATTTTCCCCGTGGCTGCTCCAGCCCCGGGGCACTCACTGAGCCTATGGTGTCTAGCAGAGTTATGAATGTAAGCTCTTAGGCTTGTCTTTTGAAAGTGTTGTGCAGATTTCCTTTGAGGATCAGGACTGAGAGGTCAGGTATGGAGTGATCACTTCGTGATGGGGTGCTTTGTCTTTTATCATTTTCCTGTGGGAGTTCATTCAAGAATGTAGTCTCTTCTCTTATAGAATCATAGAAATATAAGGGCTGGAAGGGACCTTGAGAAGTCATCTAGTCCATCCCCCTGCACTGAGGAAGGACCAAGTAAACCTAGACTATCCGTGACAGGTGTTTGTCTAACCTGTTCTTTAAAACCTTCACGGGCAGGGATTCCACAACCTCCATTGGAAGTCTGTTTCAGTGCTTAGCTATCCTTATCATCAAAGTTTTTCCTAATATCTAACCTAAATCTCTCTGGCTGCAAATTGAGCCCATTACTTGTCCTACCTTAAGTGGAAGTGGACAACAATTTGATCACAATCCTCTTTAGAACAGCCCTTAACATATTTGAAGACTGTTATCAGCCTCCCCTCCTCCCGCCCCAGTCTTCTTTTCTTTAGACCAGCAGTTCTCAAACTGTGGGTCGGGACCCCAAAGTGGTTCACAACCCCATTTTAATGGGGTTGCCAGGGCCAGCGTTTTACTTGCTGGGACCCAGGGTTGAAGCTGAAGCCCAAGCTCCACCTCCACCCAGCGACAGTGTCAAAAGCTCTACTAAAATAAAGATAAATCATGTCTACTGCTTCCCCCCATGCACTATGCCAGTAACCTTGTCAAAGAAAGCAAGTAGGTTGGTTTGGCATGATTTGTTCTTGACAAATCGATGTTGGCTATTACTTATCACGCTGTTATCCTCTAAGTGCCTATACTTAGATTGTAAGCTGTTTGAGTCAAGGACTGTCTTTTTGTTCTGTGTTTATATAGTGGCTAGCACAATGGGGTCCTGGTCCATAACTGGGGTTCTGGGCTGCCATAGAAATACAAATACATAAAATACTGCCTATTATATGTTCTGAGATGCAGCGGTCTCTCTGGTTTAGAAATAGACCGTTCTACTTCACACATGTGCAAACCCCATGGTATAAATAAGGGCAGAATTTGCTGCTTCATTAAGCATTTTTGGGATTGTTAGTGGTATTTTGTTTAAACCTTAGTAGTGAGAAAATCCAGATAGAAGACTGAAGGCTTCATTTTCATTTTCAGTGGGTTCCCAGCCAGACAAATTTATCAAAGGCTGTCTGTTTGTAGGCAACTATTGTAATCTGATCTGAGCTTTTCTGAGTTTAAGTTTAGAGTGAAAAATGTGCCCCTTGATTAAACATAGCAATTAAGGATTTTAGGGATCTTGGTTTTGACCCCCTTGACATGAAACACTGACCTCAGTGCAGTAGGTTTGGTACTGAATTGTTACCATTGTAAGACAATTAGATCATCTTTCTGGGGATTTTAGGGGCCAATTCATCATCATCATAAAAAAAAAGTGTCTCCTTTGAATTGTAACTTCCTTGATTATTTGAGTTTTGGACAGTGTATGTAAGGTATTTGTGATACTAATCTGACACTAACTACAGTATTGCAAAGAATGGTATAATTACATCTCTAATTTCAATCTGCACGCTGACAAGGTAAGCAAAGTTGTGTTTTTCAACCTTATTTATAAAGTTATCTGGATTATTAAGATAAACTATCTCTCACCACTCACTCATTCTCTGTCTCCTACACACACTCACACAGACTGAAATTTCCATCGGTGCCTAGAAGATTAATTTAAAAACAACAAAAAACCCTCCCATCACTTTCAATAGGAATTGTGCCTCTGAATCCCCACAGTGGTTTTGAAAAAATCTCAGCCTTATTCCTGATATAAAATCAGACCCCCCACCCACCCACCCCCAAGACACATGTGACCTGAGGATCTTGCAACCCATAGAAAATAGGTCAGCATGTATTGACTCCCTACTCCCATTTATTTCAACAGGAAGTATGCTCAGGAATAGGAGTCACACCTGCAGATCTGTTGGCAAGGTTGTGCTCTAAAAGACTTAGTATATGAAACTATGCAGCCATGACCGTGTGCTGATTGAAACTTGCATTTGTATTTTAAACAGTTTTCTAAATGTCCTCACCCTTTAAGGATAGTCCTTGATGAACAAAGAGACTTTGTATAACTAGTAGTAAATAACGTTTAAATTAGACACATTTAGAATTGAAAGACAATTAATTGATTCCTTCTTTCCTTTTTCAGTCAGTCACCAAATTCTCTGTTATTTACCGTGGTTATACTGAATGCCTTTGTTCTCATATATTTTTAATCAACCTTTCTTTTCTTTTCCTCCAGACCGTATACACCTATGAGAGGGGCCCTCTCCACTGTGTGGTTTGACAGATGGAAGATCTCTAATGAGTGTCCAGAACACATTGAAACCATTGATTCAATGTGTCAGGTGCTTACAAACGTGATTGATGATGAGGTTAAAAATGGCATCAGCAAGAATAGGATAATTTTAGGTAAGAGTTTTTTTATGTTTATACCTTATGAGAGAGCTGGCCCACCGGCCCACATCCTTCGGCCCACCTGTTCACCGCTCCAGGCCAATGGGGGCAGTGGGAAGCGGCGCGGGCCGAGGGATGTGGGAGCGATCGGCTGAACCTGTGGACGCGGCAGGTAAACAAACCGGCTTGGGCCCACCAAGAGCTTTCCCTGAACAAGCAGCGGACCGACTTTGAGAACCACTGATTTAGACAACACAAATTATTGCACGTTGTATCTTCTCTACTGCTGTGGTTGCTTCGGAAGAGTTTAGTCATGAAAAAACAAAAGTCCTGTGAAATGTTCGGTAATGGTAGAACTTGGTAACAAATGCATTTATTCATCATATTTAGCACTTATCTAGCTCATTACATCTTCAGAACATTGTACAAATATCTACTAATCTTCGAGCACTCTCTGGGGACATGCTGTATCAGGCCTATTTTACGGTTGAGGAAATTGAAGCAGAGAGGTTGAGGCCACAGGAGTAGCATAAGTCAGAGATGGAATTAGAATTCAGGAGTGCCTGACTCCTTGTTCTATTCTTACATGACTAAATATTTCAGGTTGGAATAAACTTTTAATGTGGGAACTTCTGACGTCCTGGGCAACTGACTCTTGCCATTGAGCTCCTAAGCAGTGGAGCCAGGACCATTCAGTCTGCATATTTTCTTGGCCCAGCCCTGTGTTGCTCTTTGAAGGTCACTGTTTACTTTTCCTTGGTGGCTCATTGCCCTGGCTGTAGAATGCATTATTTTGAATGGCTGTCAGCACAGTCTCTTTGATCTGGCTTTCTTGTGTTATACCTGCAGGCCTCGAGACAGCTGAAGAAGAGCAGGTGTTTTTTTTCTGGGAGTGGGGTGGAGATGTTCCACATACAGACTCATTCTGCTGCTAGATTTTCCCTTTGACCTCGGGAAAATAAAAGTAGTGAGATTGCAGGGTCTGAGACACACTTTAAATCTGGGAAAACATCTAAGGGAGTAATTGAGGTTAGTTGTCTCCATCCTTTAGTCTCTCTTGAAAGTTCCAGCCTCTATCTTTAAATTCTCTATCTTTAAATTGATGAAAATTGTCTTTTCTCCCACCCTTTGTCTGTCTTGTCTATGTAGATTGCAAGGTTTTTGAGAGACATTCTCTTGCTATGTGCATGTACTGTGCCTAGCACAATAGGACCCTGATCTCAGTTGGGCTTCTAGACACTACGATGACAAAGAAAGACTGAGTCAGTAATCCAGCATCAGACCAAATAAGTGCAAATGTGTACATAGAATCATAGAATCTTAGAATATCAGAGTT